ATTAACATTTTTGAAAAAAATTTAATTAAAAAAAAATAGATTTGAGAAACTACAAATTTGACAAAAAATTACTTTTTTTTTGAAAAAAAAAATTTATATGAAAAAAAATATTTTTTTTTGAAAAAAATTTTTTTTTTTGTATACAAAAAATTTTTTTGAAAAAAATGTTTTCTTCATTTTGACATATTTTGGAAATTCTGAACTTTTTTTCAAAGCAATCGCACTGCTTGAACTGCTTAGAGACGAAATGTCAAAGCGCGCATGTGCCGCGCCGCCGTCTAACGCATAAGCATTGGTACGGAACCCATAAAAATGTAAAAAAAAAATATACTTATTGTTAAAATCTTTATAAAATATCTGATAATTTGATGTGCATATGTCTAATGATAATTTTTAACCGCCGAACGGCATTATTTTTTACTTTTTTCATTAGATCTCCGAAACCGCTAGACCTACCTCCATGAAAATTTGATCAATTCTACATCTTGTCAATACAAGTAAAATGTTTTTTGAATTATTCAAATCGGACGCTCCGTTCTCTTAAAAACGGAGGTACCGTTCTTGTCACTTTTTGCCCCGTATCTTCGGAACGGCTAGACCTGCCTTTGCCAAAAACTAATCAGCACGTCTCCTTATCAATACGAATCGAATGTTTTTTGAATTATTCAAATCGGTTGATCCGTGTTCCCGAAATCGTCGACGAAAATTTGTATCCGCACATACATACACACACATACATACATACATACATACATACATACATACATACATACATACATACATACATACACACACACACACACACACACACATACATCCATTTTTTCTAAGGTATGCCAAAATGTTCAGAAGGTTTTGAAACGTCGAGAAATGCAAAAATTTTCATTTTCGATTTTTTTGCGATTACTATAACTTACCCTACGGGAAGTTAATTAATTTATGAGTGATTAAAAGTATTCCGAGTGGATTTATTACACATAATTGAAATCGAACGAGCACGTTAACTCGGAGTATTTACTAAGAGCAAATTTTTAAAAATTAATTTTTTGTATAATTGAACCAGTTGCCGTAAAACTTTAATGATTTAGTATTTTCTTTAAGACCAAGTTCTCTATCGTTATACCAAGTAAATAGTCAAATTTAAATTTTAACAAATGTCAAAAACAAAACTACTCATTTTCTCAAACGTTGATGAATTTTTAAAATTAAACTGCTTGTCGTAAGGCCGTAATATTTCAGCAGGTTCTATAAGACCATGATATATATCGCCAAAAAAAGTTCCATAAAAATCGGCTTAAATTTTTTCCCAACAACGAATTACTAGAACGACTCAGTAGATTTTTACCTAAAAGTAATCAGTATCATTCCCAACTAATATCTTTCGAATAGTCTTTGATATTTTAGCCGTTTTGGGCCATAATATTTTAGTATGATCTATGAGACTATAGTATCTAACGTCAAAAAAATTAATAAAATAGTCCAAAAATTCTTTTTGACAGTTTATTACAAGAAAACGACTCGGCCGATCTTTACCAAAAACTAATCAGCACGATTCCCAATAAATATTTTATCTGAACTGTTTTTGAATTTTCAAAATCGATTAAGAACTGCGAGCTAAAACGTGGATGAACATTTCTTCACTTTTTTGCTATTCACAAAGAAAACGGCTTGGCTGATCGTCGCAATTGATAAACGCAAGTCCTCATCGAAATACATAGAATGGCTTTTAAATTTTTGAAATTGATCCAGCCGTTTCTGAGAAAACGTCGATTTACGGTAAAGAATCTGTTCACATGCACACACCCACATAATTTTTTTTTTAAATTTGGTCTCATTCGATTCAGAATGGCTTCAAACGTCGATAAAACATAAAATTAGCGAATAGGATTTTCTTCATGAAAACATAAACTTCGCCTTCGGTAAATAAATTACAAAGTATGGTTTTTTAGTTTTGTAGAATTCAGATAAAATATTTTAGCATAATAACATTTAAGATAAATATCTGATCCCACGCTATTCCAATATTAGCCCTTACCGCCTTCCCTTTGTTTTCCTTCTAACTAACCCAGTTTCTTGCTTGTTAACTAACTCACTTTTCCTCATATTTTCTCTCGGTGTTTTCCAACTTTACATTTCAACACTTACTTTCTGCAACATCTCTTCCCAACATTTTTCCTGCCTTTTTCCGTTTTTTTTCAAATTAATTATCATGGCAATTTGCGCTCTCGGAACAAGTTCTATCGACTAATATCATTATTTGAGCGAGTTGCTCGTCGGCGCATCATGCATGCCTCCGACAAAACTTAGTTTTGATCGCCAACTAACTCCTCAGGTTAAAGTTTATAATTATAATTAAACTTCATAATTAAAGTTCTAGAGTTACTCCGGAGGTAGCCCTGGAAATATTATGCCGTTTTCTGATATTTTGCGATAATATTTCAAATGATAGCCGAGTGAAATAAGATTGTGGAAACAGTTGAAGGCGGCGAAAGAGAAATTGTAAATTAAACACAAATGTATCTGAAAGGATCTATCTTCATATGAGTTGGTAATTATGAACTATCAACAAGCCATATATTTGTTGGTTGAAATATTCTAGGCATTTGTAACCAAAACAGGATCTAATTCTCAATTTATTTGAGGGTCTGTGACTTTAGTGCAAAAAATTGCTCTTAATAAAATACTTTATTAAAAATTTTATTAAAAAAACTGAGTACAATACAATTTTCCATAGTAATTCTACATCGTTCATAAAAGTTGTTTCACATATAAAACCAAACTTTACGCATATGCCTATAATAAAATATATAGTTGCACCTATAATAAAATTGCTATCTGGGAATTGTGCATTTTGTAAGTTAGGTTTTATGTGTGAAAAAAACATTGTTTTTTGACAGTCGGTACTTTCAACTAATAAAAAACTAGACCCCTAGCATTACAATACTATATCATTTCTATTTTATTAGTTCCATAATTGACTTCCCTTGGGGTTATTTATAGTAATCCGAAAAATCCAAAATGAAAATTTTTGCATATCTTAACGTTTCTAAGGTTTCTGAACATTTTGGCATACTTTTAAAAAATGGATTTATGTGTGAAGATAAAAATTATCGTTGACTATTTCGGAAGGAAGGCATGTGAAGCCGTTTCAAAGATACGGTGCAACTAGTTTCGAAATGAAAATTTAGTTTTTGAGGAAACAAAGCGTCCGATTTGAATGATTCAAAAAACATTTTACTTTTGTTGACGAAATAAATAACTGTTTAAATTTTTTAGAAAGGCAGGTCCAGCGTTTTGGAGATCTAATTGAAAAAGTGAAAACAATGCCTTTTGGTAATCAAAAATGATCATTAGACATATGCACATTAAATTATCAGATATTTTATAGAGATTTTAATAATAAATACAAATTTTGTTTACATTTCTATGGATTCCGTACCAATGTTTATCCGTTAGATTGCAGCGCAGCCTTTGAAAAAAATTCAAAGTTTTCAAAAAAATTCTAAATGAAAAAAAATCTAATTTTTTCAAAAGGTAATTTTTTTCAAAAATCTCAAAATTCTCAAAAACCTAACTTTTTCAAAGTTTTCAAAAACTAGTGGTGTATAGCATCGTACTTTAAAGCAAATTGCTGGAACTTCCGGTATCAGAATCATACATTCCAGGAAAAAAAAAACAGTAATCAATAAAAATTGATCAATAATTTACAACAATTGTTTTATACATTTTCAAATAGATAATTATAATCACTATATATTTTATCGTTCATAAAATATACGTTGACAATATCGCTCAAAATACTTGAGAAAGTTTACATTTACAAGAGGTGAATTAATGAATTCATCTGAGGATATATTTCTTACGATTAGAATAACGCATTTGAAATATATACATTTTTAAACTAAATTATAAATTTAAAATTCATATTTGAAGTGTAAAAATTTATATATTTTTAAAAATTTTGATTTTTTTTTTTGGAAAATTTTGAAATTTGCTTGAACCGTGTAAGTAAACTTTGAAAATTAAAAATCTTGGTACGAAACCCAACAAAATTGTAACGAAAGAATTAGTACTCATTTTTAAAAACTTCTACAAAAATATCTGATAATTTGATGCGCATACGACTAAAGTTCATTTTTGACCACCTAATATCATTTTTTTTTTAATTTTTTTTCTGTAATTCCGAAACCGCTAGATCTGACTCACCAAAAATCAATTATTCACTTCGTCATTACAAGTAAAATGCTTTTTGAAACAATCAAATCGAGCTCTCCGTTCTCTCAAAAACTAAATTACCGTTTTCAGCACCTTTTGCCCCATATCTCCGAAATGGCTAAGTCTGTCTTAACCAAAAACTAATCAGCACATCTTCATATCAATAGAAGTCGAATGTTCTTTGAACCGTTCAAATCTGTCGATTTGTGTGCCCGAAATAGTAGATGGAAAATTGTATCCAAAATATACATAATACACTACACACACCCACACACACTCACATATATCCATTTTTTCTGAGGTATGCCAAAATGTTCAGAAACCTTTGAAACGTGAAGATATGCAAAAAATTTTATTTTCAATATTTTGCGTTTGCTATAACTTACTCTACGGGAAGTTAAAAAATAAAGCTTTTTTAAAACATTTAATTTTTTGTAGGGAAAGTACCAGCAATTTCCCCTAAGGCACGATGCCATGTACCACTAAATTTTGAAATAAATTTACGAACCTAAGACTAAACAGCTTATGTCTATTCAGAAATATGATTTTTATTTCTGTTTTACAATATTAAAAAATGTTAAATAAGAAAATCATCAGATCAAAAGCAGAAATTTTAAAATTAACAAACACCACTCGTTAAAATGCAATAGTATCAACCATTACCACTATCATTGTTGAAATGCGATACTAAAACCAAATAAATCTCCCACAATCCATCCTAATCCTTCAATGCTTTTGCTTTGACTTATGATAAATATTATAATTTCCATTGCCATTATTTGCAGCACCATAAATCCGACAGCAGACGCGTGTTCCTGAGGTCGGTGACGTTGAAAACTAGCGGCGTGTTCCGGTGCGAAGTGTCGGCGGAGGCGCCGTCGTTCTCGTCGGGACAAGAGGAAGGAACACTCCACGTCGTGCGTAAGTACCATACAGAATACACTTCGAATACTAGGACTAGGGGATACTTGAAATACTATTTGACACTCGACAGAGAGACTCGAGAACAGTCTGGCTAATAAAGCTCAGTTGTTTTGGGATTTTATTCGGCACTTGGGGATGAAATCATATGGGCGGTTATGGGTGATATTTGGCGCTTTGCTGCGCGGTTTAGAAGAAAACTATCAGCAACTTGTGAATACTAATATTTTGGAATATCAGATGATTTTATTTGCATTCAACAGTTGTATGATTTTATATGTCTTACATGCTCTGAAGTAGGAAATGCAATACCGATGGAAAATTTCAATACCGGTATTTCGGTAATTTTTCATTTTAAAACCGGAATGCCGGTAAATTACCGGTATTTTTATTATAAAAAATGGATATATAATTACAACTATATTCAAATAAACAATAAAATAAGATTTTTTTTTAAATAATAATCTAACAAATATGCTATTTAATTAATTTATTATCACTATCGAGTATATTGAATACTTTTTACCAAAAACAAACGTATGAGTAAGAAAGTTCAAAAACTCATAAAAGATCATATTACATTATTATAATAAACTGTATTGTCTGTATCCGATGTGTTAAATTAGTAGAATCTCCAAAATTTAAAAAAAATAAATTTTATACACTAATTTAAGATCGGATTCTTTGTCAAGATAAATAAAAAGTTACTATAATTGCTGAGTATTGTTATTTAAAACAATGTGATGCTTCTATAGTATTTTTAAACTTCGAAACGTTTTCGAAAAATAATATTTTATAATTGTAATAAGAAGCAAAAATATTTAGTAATTATCATAATTATTATATATAAAGTTAGAAAAAAATAAAGATTACGCAGGGGTTATCTGTATGATATAAAATATTTTGGCGCAAATATCACTTGAAAAACCATTACATTTTACAAAAGATGAAACAAATATCATAATTTATCAGTCGAATTCTATTTATTGTAACACGATATGAAGCCCTTTGGAAAGCAATAAACATCAGTTTAATGACGAGTTGAGATATGTTCATCTTATAGAATCACTTGAAGATATAGCTGTTTATGCAATTATGGAATTTAAAGATAAATTTGTTCCGAGAAAATTAAACTTTAGGGTATTATGTATCAAATAGCGCTTATGTAAAAATACCGAAAATACCGGTATTTTTGGAATAAATATCAGTAAAAATACCGCCGAAAAATCGGGCGGTTTACCGGTAATTCGGTATATCGGTATACCGGTATTGCATTCCCTTTGGAACCCCTTTGGACCCCAGGGGGTCCATGTGGACCACTTTGGAAAAGAAAAATAGTTGGATACTTCAGATTCTGAAGTATCCAACTATTTTTCTTTTCCAAAGTGGTCCACATGGACCCCCTGGGGTCCAAAAGGGTTCCCAAAATTCAGATCCTTATTTCTATTATGACACATAAAATGGAATTCGAGGCAAGATGAATGAAAAATGTAGTATGCGAAAATAGATATTGAACATGAGACATCGAGGCTTTGAAAAATAGAGACATTGGAAGTGGGATGAATAAAAGTGGACTTGAACATAAATATGAAAACAAGAGACATGGAAAATGGTTTATTTTAGATGGGCAGTAAAAATTGGTTGTGATTTACTTGATGTTTTTCAATATAAACGAGGAAATAAATATATAATACACAAATTTATATTTTATGCCCATTTTCAAGCCCTGTTAGCTATCCGTGTACATATTGATGGCTAGGTGCCGAAAATGTTCTCTAACGATATTTATTAGAGGGCGAACTTTTTTCACGCGTTTTCGGCCTGCGTGAAAAAGTTATTTGCTTAGCGGTAATAAGCGTTGACGCAATGGGAATTATGTGTTTGTAACATGGGAATTATGTGTTGAAGGGTCTTACATCCTTATTGGCAAAAATGTTAAGGATATATTATGGTCTCAAACGTATGAGTAAGAAAGTTCAAAAACTCATAAAAGATCATATTACATTATTATAATAAACTGTATTGTCTGTATCCGATGTGTTAAATTAGTAGAATCTCCAAAATTTAAATAAAATAATTTATATACACTAATTTAAGATCGGATTCTTTGTCAAGATAAATAAAAAGTTACTATAATTGCTGAGTATTGTTATTTAAAACAATGTGATGCTTCTATAGTATTTTTAAACTTCGAAACGTTTTCGAAAAATAATATTTTATAATTGTAATAAGAAGCAAAAATATTTAGTAATTATCATAATTATTATATATAAAGTTAGAAAAAAATAAAGATTACGCAGGGGTTATCTGTATGATATAAAATATTTTGGCGCAAATATCACTTGAAAAACCATTACATTTTACAAAAGATGAAACAAATATCATAATTTATCAGTCGAATTCTATTTATTGTAACACGATATGAAGCCCTTTGGAAAGCAATAAACATCAGTTTAATGACGAGTTGAGATATGTTCATCTTATAGAATCACTTGAAGATATAGCTGTTTATGCAATTATGGAATTTAAAGATAAATTTGTTCCGAGAAAATTAAACTTTAGGGTATTATGTATCAAATAGCGCTTATGTAAAAATACCGAAAATACCGGTATTTTTTGAATAAATATCAGTAAAAATACCGCCGAAAAATCGGGCGGTTTACCGGTAATTCGGTATATCGGTATACCGGTATTGCATTCTCTTTGGAACCCCTTTGGACCCCAGGGGGTCCATGTGGACCACTTTGGAAAAGAAAAATAGTTGGATACTTCAGATTCTGAAGTATCCAACTATTTTTCTTTTCCAAAGTGGTCCACATGGACCCCCTGGGGTCCAAAAGGGTTCCAAAGGGGTCCATGGCAACTTTCAAGGAGTCCACGGCAAAAAAAAACAAAATTTGGGGGTCCACGAAATAAAAATGGGAGTCCACGGCATATTTAGAAATGAACCAAAAAGTAAAAAAAACGTTACATATATGTAAAAAAGCGTGTAAGTTTCATATAATTTGTCTGTTAAAATGTTTAATTTTGGCAAGAATCTTAGCGCTTTTAGAGACTGTTTTAGAACTTATAGATATTAAATATAAATGTTTAACAGACAATTTAACAAAGTATAACATAGATATCGTTTATTTTATTTTTCCCGCATCTTTGATTATATCAATACTCGACAAGATATATTGATCTGGATCTCTTTTGGAAAATCTAATAACAATTTTACTGAACGCATTAAATGTTAGTATTGAGTGCGGAGCCAGCCACTCATCAACCTCGCATATCTCAAAACCTATTGAATGTTCCAACTTTAAGTTTTTGTCAAATATTTAGTAAAACGTAGTAACAGTGTATGTCAAGTTTCATCAAAATCGAATTATGCATTTTTGAAAACGTACAATCCGTTTCAATACTAGTATTGAGAGCGGGGCCAGCCACCCATTAACCTCGCATATCTCAAAAACTATTGAATGTTCCAACTTTTAATTTTTGTCAAATATTTAGTAAAGTGTAGTAACAATGTATGACAAGTTTTATCAAAACCGAATTATGCATTTTTGAAAACGTACAATCAGTTTCAATACTAGTATTGAGAGCGGGGCCAGCCACCCATCAACCTCGCATATCTCAAAAACTATTGAATTTTCTAATTTTAAATTTTTGTCAAATATTTAGTAAAGTGTAGTAACAATGTATGACAAGTTTCATCAAAATCGAATTATGCATTTTTAAAAACGTACAATTCGTTTCAATACTAGTATTGAGAGCGGAGCCATAACAAAACAAAAAACATTGCAAGGGTTCCACGGCACAAACAAGTTTGGGAACCAATGGTTTAGAACATGCAAGTACATGTTTGGAAGTAGCGTATGTGTCAAGGCACAGTAGTTCAATTTGAATGAATTTGAGCATTCATAGTGTGAAGACCAAATCAACTACATTAAAACAAATACCACATATTAACACTTTGCGTAATAAACTACCTTGTCAATTTGACTGGTTTCTGTACGGTTCAGATCGGTATACAATATATGACTAAATATGAATTTCAAAATTTAAAAAATTAATCAAAATTATAATGGTTTACATAATGCCTGTCAATAAACCTATGAGTTTATGACACAAATTAGTTAATATTACTGATATATTTCTTTCCTACCCTGCATGGGTTAGTTATAGCTCATATCAACTGACACTGAGAACAAATCGTCAACCATCCTTTGGATATTAATGTAAAAACTATTTATATTATTTTAATATTTATAAATCTGTTTGCTATGTCTCTCCTTTTGACCTGTACCTGCCAATACAGTTCTGGTATATTAGTTTGTGTGTGTGTATCAATGTGTGTTGGTAAATTCCTTAGTAATGTTTCTCCGAGCGCAATCAATCATATTGATGAGATCTTCCGTATCTGCTGTGCATCTGTATGTTATTATCGTGATGTATTCGCCAACTCACACCTTTGAATAGCCATATAGATCTACTACACGTTTACCAGAAAATATGTATATTCGAAACAGGGTTGGCAATTATATCCACGGAAATCGAAATTGAATAAATTTTAGTTGTCAGTAACAGATATAATAATTATTTTATTTATTAGTCGTACTTATGGTATGCCTTTGGCCCTATCGCTAACTGCATGAAAAGGATTATTTGGCAATTGGTTTAGCTTGATCACAGGGTGTCCCAAAACTCAATGCTGTGATGGTATTGACTATAATTATATTGAAAAAAAAATATCTCAAGAAGTTTGAAAATTATGAGCTTTTTGGTGCAACCCAGAGCTTTGATTAAACTTTCACAATTTTTCGGTTCTTGTAATTATTAACTTCCCGAAGAGTAATTAATACGTAGTAATCGCAAAAGTATCGAAACAAAATATATATATCTTTACGTTTTAAAGATGTCTGAACATTTTGGCATACGTTACAGAAAATGGATATATGTGTGCGTATTTGTGTGTGCAAATACAAATTTTTGACGATTTTGGGAACACAGGT